CCGCCGCTTGCTGCTGCTGCTCTGCCATTGCCCGCTGCCGCAGCTGCTCGAGCTCGGACTGCGAGATTTGGCGGCGGAGGAGGGGGGTGTGAAACCGTGAGAGAGTCTTGCCGGAGTAGGGGCCGTGCCACACAGGGACGGGCACCTCGACCCCACCGCTCGCAACCCGACCAGCCGTGCAGCAGCCGGTCCATCTCAGCCCGCCTCCGCCGCCCCTCCCCCGCCCGCCTCGAGGCAGCCGCCTGCCCTCGCGCCCCCGCCGCCGCGCGCAGCCCGTGCATCCCCGCGGCGCGGCTGCTTTGCCGCCGCCCAGGGCGCCCATTTGCGCGCGCGCTTGCGTCTTGCCCCGCACCTTAAGGCGCGCTTTGGCCTTCTCCTCTTCTGTGCGCTCCCGCACCACCGTCCGCTCCCGCTGCTCCAGGTCCTCACGCATCTTGCGCCGCTTGCCATCCTGCTGCGCGTACCGCGCCTCGCGCGCGGCCTTGGCGCTGCGCGGCGGGCGGGGCGCGAGGCGCGCGGGGGGCCGGGGCCGGAAGCGGGTCAGGTGCGTCGAGGGGGGAAGCAGGGTTGGGCGCCGTGGCTCGGGGCGGCGGGCCGTGGTGCCGTCAAGCAGGCCGCCGGGGTTTGCTTTGCGGCTGCATCACCACACACATGCAGGCCGCCCCGACGTCGCAGCGGCACGCGCCCCCACGCACAGCTGCCGCGCCGGTCAGATCTGCCCTCTGCACGGCCGCGTGCGGCGCGAAATTCCGGGCAAGACAGCCGCGCGGCGCCCACCAGAGGTAGTCATCCAGTGCGCCCCTCGCCGCTGCATCTGAAAGGACCTGGTAGGCCTTCTGCAGCTCTGCAAACTCGGCAGCCGCGTTTGGCGTCTTGGCTTTGTCTGGGTGCTTGATCAGCGCCAGGCGGCGGTAGGCCTGGCAAGTACAGCAAGAGGGGAGGCGGCTTGCGAGAGCGCGAGAAGCACGGCTCCAGCTACGAGCGGCTGCTGTCCCATGCGGCGCATCGGCGCATCATTCAGGGGCGGCAGCGAAGGGCACGGACGACGAAAGCAGCGCAGCGGCAAGCGCGCAGCAGGTGCTGCGCACACTCGCCGGTTGGTGCCCTGTCGCCACCAGCGCGTGCATTCACCTTTTTGATTTCATCTGCAGTGCTCTCGGGCCCCTTTTCGAGGCCCAGCACCTCGTATGGCGACTTGCCATCAAAATCGAGGTCCGCGGCCATCTTTCGTGCTCATACCGGTATCTATATTACGTCAATGCTTAAACCACATGTGCAAGTCGCATCTGTCATGTATAACACGGTAGACTGTGCGGTGACATGCGCAGCCCCCATACGCCCCGCCTCCGGCTCTTACTGACAGCCGCCCCTCCCCCCCCCCCCCCCCC